ACACGAACCCCCATTAAAAACCCAAGTCTCGACCACATAGGCCATGATGATTGGCGTCGTCTTGCAACTTCTTGGCAGGAACTTGAATGAGAGCGTCAGACAGCGAAAATCCCCGGGGTGTCTTGCTGCATGGATTTGCCAACTGTCGCAGGAGAGTGGGCTTGGGTCGACCTGTCCAAGACATACGTTCCTGGGGTAAGCCAGTAGTTTTAGGGTTTAGGGTTGAGGGTTGAGGGTTTTGGGTTTTGGGTTAGGGTTGAGGATTGAGGGTTGAGGGTTGAGGGTTTCGGGTTGCAGACGGCAAAGAGTAAGCGAATGCAGTCCAGCAAGTCGTCGTGTCCTTGGGTCCTTTCAAGCGAAGACAGCCGCGAGCTCTAGAAGGTCTGTCGGCCTTGCACATCACACTCTTAGCGACTCACTAAACCATTCAATTTCCGTAGGTCCCAGTCTTGGAACCCTAAACCCAGACTGATTTGTAAATCATATTCCTTGCGAATTCTTTAGCCAACTTAGATATCCTCAAGCATGAACCGTCCAACACCTCAACCTTGAACCCCGACACGGAACTTGCAAGTCCACTGAGTCTACTGCAAACACATCACTCGAAAAGTCACCTCTGCAGACAGGCTGGGTAAGTAGATTACTCCTCTGGCGTGCATGTTCACGCATTCCCCCCCCCTGAACCTTCAATGTTTCGATGTTGTGTGGGTCTACGCCTGCAGCGGTGAAAACCCTACCTGCCATACCTACCTCAGAGCTCTATAAGACGCTGCAAAACCACTGTAAAATCGCCGAATTAAAACCCACCGGCAACACTGAATGCAGGGCGCAAGATAATTAGAACAGGTTCTTGGCGGTGCACTTTATACTACACTACAAGCTGAACAACGAATACAAGGGGATATCATTACCCATTCCTAAACCCTAAACCCTAGCAACCCTAAACCCCTAAACCCCTAAACCCTAAACCCTTGAGACCTCAAAGCCCTGCAGCCCAAAAGCTTCGAAGCCTGGGCAATGAGCAGCCCCATGAAGGAGTAGGTTGCGACAAGCCCCTGGAGGGGCCGAATATATAATATATCTGTACATATACATATATATATATATATATGTATGTATGTATGTATGTATGTATGTATGTATGTATGTATGTAGGTATGTATGTATATGTACATATAATCCACACACACACATCTATACATATATATATATATAGCTCTCTTTATATACTCATGTATTCATTTGTGAACTTACTTATGTGTTTCTATGCTTGAAGCTTGACAGTGTGTGCGAGCGCGTGCGGTGCGTCAGGCCCAAGCTTTGGGCCTGCTTGTCCAGGATTTCAGTGTACTTGGAGGCCCAGGGGACAGTAAGGGTTTAGGGTTTAGGATTTAGGCTTTAGGGTTTAGTTCGGGGCCCAGGGAACTTAGTAAGTCGGTTATAAGTAGGGTTATAATTGGGGTAACTCCATTTAGGGTACTTATAACTCTACTTATAACCTACTTACTAAGTCCCCTGGGCCTCCAAGTAGGTGTTGCTTACGGTTTGCGGATTGCGGTGTCTACGAGCAAAGTCTACAAGTCTTTCTGATTTCTATGTGGGCGAGGGTGTTTATGGTCGTGGACCAATAAGGGACGAGGTTTTGAAGGTTTAGGGGTTTAGGGCTTTTGGATGCTTGCGGTGTAGGATGTTTATTTCGGCCGCCTGAACCCGACTGCGGGGATCTAGCCAGCTAGTCCACAAGCCCTCGGGCCACCAGGCCGAGCTTGATGGTTTAGGGCTTAGACTTTTCGGGTTTAAAGGACTGGCTAGTTCATGGTTGGGACAAGAATACGAAATGTAAAATTTGAGTTGTTTCTTACTGAGCTGAAGTACCCATGCAAATGTAAGATGTTACCCAACTATGAAAAGATTAAGTAGGTTTCAGGGTTATGCTACGCTTGCCTCGAGGGTCATGCCCTACCCCTTGTTTCAGGTATCTAGTTTTCTGGTTAGGGTCCATGATCCAGAAAAGTAGGTACCCTAAACGAAGGGGAAGGCATGATCCCACTCACCTACCTTCCTACGAAGCCCTATACGATCTCACCAAACCTTTACTATAAACCCTACTGCACAGCAGAAACCCGCAAGGCAGGGCACTCCAACCCTTACGAAGCATAGGTCGGAGAGCCGCGCAAACCCATGTTCAAGAAAGCTAAACCAGGCAACCACGAGAAAAGCTAATCGGGCGACCCCCTGGAACAGCAAGATTGATTTGCTGCTGAAGAATCTGCACCCGGCCACAGGGATCTGCAAAGGGAGGCTGCACAAAAAGGCCATAAACACATCGCAGATCTTGCGACGCTGTGGAGCTTCTACAAAATACTGCCTCACTTCCCCTAAACCCGAAACCCTAAACTGCTAGTTCGAGGACCAAACTAACTAGCCCCTCGACCTTGCGCCATAAATCCTTTGAAGCCCGCAAACCCGGATACTGCAACCCCAGAACCTCTAAAATCCTACACCTAGCAGACCTAGCGCTAGTGAAATCCGATAACAGCCCTCCATACCCAGAACCCCTTGAAACACCTTAACTACCAGGATCCCCCAATGGCCCTTTAATGGAGACCTTATGGTCCTTAATAGTGGGTATTTGGGGGATAATAGAGGGTAGTTGGGGGGTCTAGGTAAAGACCCTACTAATTTACAATGAACCTGTATGCCGTAAACCCCGAACTAAACCATAAACCCCAAATCCTAAACCTTAAACCCTAAACCCGACTAAACCCCAAGCATCTGGCCCAGCAGTATCTGTTGTAGCCGGCGAACCTCCGAGCAATATCGCTTGGTTTGGCAAAGGGCTTCAAGAGTTTCGGGAGGGGATTCGGGAAATGGTGTCGTACCTGGCATAAGTAAACTCTGAACCCAAAACCCCTAAACCCTAAACCCTAGACCCTAAACCCCTAAACCCTTAAACCTGAGCCGTGGCGATTTAGCCATGGGTTTCGGGTTAATGCTTTGCGGGTTACAGATTTAGGCTTCAGGGGCTTGTAATGTTTAGGGTTTAGGGTTTGGGCTTATAATGTTTAGAGTAAATGCACGCCATAGTCCCGTGGTCTGTGCGTTTTGAGCTTGTAATCAGTTGTGCTTTTTTTTCGCGAGGTAGTTTTCTGATCTCGTTCAATTACACCTTCTGATGTGCTGGCTACCTTCCTTCTTGTACCTCTGCGAATAGCCAGCTGCCAAAGAGTCATTAGTAGGTTGCTTAGTATCGGTCATCACAGATAGTTGTTTTTGGCTGCTGCTGCTGCTGCTGCTGCCACCTACTCTGTAATCCAGAGTCTGCATGGCTGCTGTATACAACGCGTCGTCGTGGTTGTTGCGGCAGTCGTTGGTGCTAATGTTGCTTTGTTGTTGGTTGTTTGTGTGTGTTTGCTTGCTTGCTTGCTTGCTGGCTTGCTGGCTTGCTTGGCTGGCTTGCTGGTTGGGTGGTTGGTTGGTTGGTTGATGTTTGATTGCTTGCTTGCATGTTTGCTTATTTGCTTGTTTGCTTGTCTGGTGTTGGCTGTTGGCTGGTTGGCTGGTGAACGGCTTGGCTGTTTGACTGTTTGGCTGGTTGGCTGGCGGGCTGTTGTGTGGTTGCTTGGTTGCTGTTGTTGTTTATGTTGCTTCTATTCGCTTGCTGTTGCTGTCGCTGTGGCTGTCGCTGCCGTTGGAGGTTGCTTTTGTTGATGTTGAATTTGTTGTTGTTGTTGCTGCTGCTGCTGTTGCTGCTGTTGTTGTTGCGCGTAAAACCCTAACCTGAGATCCCCCCAAAACGAGGCTCTCCACGTGTGAGAGTTGAGTCAAAAACCCCTATAGTATAAGTTAGAAACCCGGTGCGAACCCGGGCGCCAGGGCGCCGACAGACTCTGTAAGCCAGCTACCTCGGCGGACAAACCCTAAACCCGAAACCCTGAACAACAAACCCTAAACCCAAAACCCTAAAACCCTAAAGCCCTAGACCCACGTGCAATATTGAGATTCCTCCAAAACTCGACGCAAAAGTGCACAACTCAGCTCAGGGGCTTTGGGTGAAGGCTTAGGGGGTAGGGGTGTCAGTGCTTACAGCTTGGAGGGTCTGTTGTCAGGTTGCAGGAGCGTGGGAAATTTGGATGGGGATTCTGCTGCATTTATCCGTTCATCGACAAAAAATCACGTGGTAAACTATCCTCTTAAAGGGAAGGTGAGCAAAAATCGTAACTTGCAACGCTAAGCCCCAAACCACTAAACCTAAACCAAAGCCTCGATAACCTTATACTTATACTCCAGACCCTATCTCGCACCCGAACCCCGTCCCAAGTCTTGAAACCGAAGATGCTAGCCCCAAACACACCTTTGCATATTATGGCAAACGGGACCTTAAGGGCTAGAGTAGGGTGTTGGGGTATAGCATCGTAACGTAGTATTCGTTATGAGGAAGCCTATAGAACAGTACTGGTAAGTACTTAAGCCTTCAAAGTAACCCACAAGACTTCTGACTCTACAACGAAACCCTAAAGCCTTGAACCCTGAAAGCTAAACCCTAAACCCCTAAACCCTACAGCCCTGAACCCTGAACCCTGAAGCCCTGAACCCTAAAACCCTGAACCCTAAACCCCTGAACCCATAAACCCTAAAGCCCTGAACCCTCAACCCTAAACTCGAAGCCCGATTGCCCAGGGCAATCAATGCAGGGGACCAGGGATTTTGAGACCCGGTCCCCCGAAATTAGCACAGTTTAGGGCCTAGGGTGTAGGGTCTGGACATTCCAAAGGTTCGGGTTTAGGGTCTGCGGTTGAGGGCGCACGCTTCGGGGTTATATTTTAGAGTTTGGGGTTCAGCAAGGGTAAAGCCCAGCCCGCCAAAGACCCCAACCATCAACATTCTCGGTATCAAACACGGAGGACAAGATTTTTGGTTTAAGGTTTGGGGCTTCGGGTTTAGGGTTTGGGGATGGTTTGGGGTACTTTAGAACTTTAGGACTGTAGGATACATTCAAATTACAAGGGTTCAGGAGGGTTACTTTTAATGAGTTTCCAGAAGGGTAAAAGCCCGGCTGCACTTGGTTCCCGAGAAAGATGGGCCGACAGATTGACTGCACAGCCGATAATGTAGAGTCGTACATTGCACCTCAGCCAAGCACTTTTGCGGGACAAATTCCGATTGCCTACGCCTTAAGACCTAGTCTTTCAAACTTTGTAAAAACCCAACCACAGATGGCATTCCTGATTCTACGTGAGTTCAACATAGTGTGCCCATTCGCAGCCCGTGCTTCCCAGACTTTCGGGGCATCGCGGTCTGAGTTTCTGGGTTTAGGGTTTTGGGTTTTTTCCAGGCTTGGTGGATTATACGGCCCATGGGTTGTGCGCGGTGAACTACAATATCTGTCAGGGCTTCGGAAGCTTCATTTGCAATTAAATCTTTCCAACTGTTTTGCCCAGCCTCGTGCAACCGTAGTTGCGGCTCGAAGATTGCATATGGCATAACTGGCATAACTTAGTCTGCCACATCATGCATGTGTAAACTCGGTGCAGGACTTTACACAACACTCGTGTGCTCTTTCGCACAACTCAAGCTTCTTGCTGCTTTAGCTCGTGCTGTCGTTTGCGTTCTTGTTCCTGCCAGGCATGTACCGCGCCTGCTTGTCCCGAAACTAACAATACCGAAACAATGTTGCAGCCGTAAGCCATACAGCCTGAACCCGAAACACCGTGTTGCTTCAGGCCAGAACTGTGCGTTAGCAAGTGCCTGGCCCCCGAATCCGCTATGAAACCCGCACTTCGGGTGCAAACTCATGGCCGGCTTCCCGGCACACCCGGGGCTGAGCAGCGGACGAGTGAATATTTTCGTCTTTGCTGAAATTCTTGTAAAGCCATTCATTGTAGACTCCTGCGGACGCGGAGACCTCGAAATTGCAAAAGGTTTTGAAAGTTTCAGACATCGATGTTGGATTTCCAGTGGAGCTACCTTGAAACCACCTAAACCTTTGATAAACTTACAGCCACGTGGAAGCCATGCAGGACGCACGCTGCTGTTCGCATCATGGCTTACGGCTCGGGTTTACGATTTTCCGGGGCACAGTGGTTTACTCACCCATCTGAGGTTTATGGCTTGGGGTGTTTATTTTGAAGCCAAGGCCCTGGTTTTTTATCCAGTATGTGTTGCAGGACTTGATAGCTGATAGTTGACGGAGCACGACCTAAACACGACTGGTTACCACTGTGAAAGCAAGCGCAACATCATCCATACGGAGCCTCCGTGAAGCCCTAGGTTGGATGTAATTCTGAGAATGAAGATGCTGAATCTCGTCGACTGCAATCGATTTGAATCAGGGCTTGGCTGTTAGATGCACGAAGCGTTGAAGAAAACTTTGCAACCGAAAGGCGAAAAGGGCCGCTTACATCGCGAGGAAGCCTGTTCGTCTGTTTTGGATCTGGCAATCATACTCTCGGCCACACCTCGGAGTCTGGAAAGCTGATCGCGTGCTTTTGCGCGGGTGCTTAAGAAAATGGTCGCATCATGTGCCAACACAATATTGTTTGCACTGCTATGCACCGAATGCATCATGATCAGGATAACAAGGTTTAAAGCCGGCAAAGCCAATACCGCCCAGGCTCCACGAGCAATGTCGCAATTTGCAGCACGCACTCAAACACAGGTATTCATATGCAGATAACGACTATGTCGCAACCTGGATCTGCAAACTTGTGGAAATAGAACAGTAGAAGAACTTGGGCTGTCGAAAGAGCGCGAGTCAGAATGGAACGAAATGTGGAAACCCTAAACATTAAACCCTATCCTGTATACGCAGGTCGAAGGCGATAGGCTACACGGAGGGCCCTCAGACCTCGGTTTTCACCACACAGGCTACCGATTCCTACGACTCATTCATTCAGGGTTTGGGTTTTAGGGCTCCAAGTAAACCTAATCTGTAGCACCGAACGGTCCGAGTCCCTCCGTTATGACCAGTATAGCTGTGATGACCAGCATGTTTATTGTGACGAGTTGTTACTACTATTACTATTACTGTTATCAGTATCATGATGATTGTTATCACTAATACTTACTGGGTTCCCGGAGTCTTTTCTGATTATTAGTATTATGATTAATAAAGGTGTTACTATTATTTACGGTCAATGCTTCGGCAAGGTGTGCTTCGGGACCTCATTGAATTCAATGCTTCTTGCATTACGGGCTATAATCCCCAAAGGGTCCATGTACCCTCTTAAAGGGTGCGTTTTAAGGGGTTTCTGTAAGGGTTCCTTCAAGGGTTTCTATGGGGTTCGTATATATAGGGGCTTTCATGAGATTAATAAACCCCTCCCCAATAGTTTGGGGTGTTCTCTTGCAACTGATGGTTGTACTTGTTTGGCGGGGCTGGGGTCTAAGTTGCTTGGTACAGTAGTACAGTAGGTAGTATTACAGTAGTATTACAGTAGTACAGTCGTAGTATAGTAGTAGTTCAGTAGTAGTGCAGAGGTGGTACAGTAGTAGTACAGTAGTACAGTAGCAGTGCAGTAGTAGCACACTAGTACAGTAATAGTACAGTAGTAGTACAGTAGTAGTACAGTAGTACAGTAATAGTACAGTAGTAGCGCAGTAGTACAGTAATAATACAGTAGTAGTACAGTAGTAGCAAGTTGCCTTTCTTACGACCACGAGCACCTCTTCTCTTACTTGACGAAGAAAGAGGCTCTCAAAAAGAGCGAAGTCCCTCTCGCAACAGGACAGGGAGCCCCTGAACTCGCAAGCCCTAAGCCTTACGTGTGGCTGGCTGGCTATCTCTCCTCGCTGTGTCTCCTTTATAAAGGAGACACAGTATATGTTGCATGTTTCAGTCTCTCCTCTTCCAGGGCGTTAGTTTGTAGTAGCAGTGTCTATTTCCCTACACCTTAAAACAAAAAACCAGGACGATAATTTACGACTATTGAGGGGAGGTTATAATGTCCACTATTGTGTGCGCCGAGTTTAGCTCTGTTGAGGGGGCTTTCCACTATCGTGCACAGGGCCGAGTTTAGCTCTACTGAGCGGGGCTCTGTTAATCACGAGGTGACATTTGTGTTTTGGGTTTACGGCTCCATGTACATAACTCGTATATGCTTTGGTGGTCCCTGTATGGGTACCTTCGGCCCAAGGTACACAGTATGCCAGTATGCTGTTCGGGAACATGGACCCTCATGGATCATTAGACGAGGATCTCTTTTGGTTAGATGCTTCCAAGCGCTTCTACAAGAGTCATATGAAGGTTTAGTGTATTGGCCTCGTTCCGGGTAAATGGCCCTAACCCCTAAACCCTAAAACCCTAAACCCCTAAACCCTCCACCTTAAACCCCTAAATTCTAAAACCCTAAACCCTAAACCCCTAAACCCAAAACCCCTGAACCCGATACCCCAAACCCGAAGCCCTAAAAGCCCCAAACCCTAAACCCTCCCGTTTTGCCTGCGCGGGAATCTGAGATCT